ATTTATAGATTATTATTAATTTATTTATATTTTGTATTCATTTCTTTTATTATAAATATGACCTATCTGTTCTGTAAAATAACTTCAGATCTGAATACTTTTAAATAATAAAAACAATCATAAGTTATAAAATTAAAACTTATTCACATCATATTTTATCTTATTTACAACTATTAATAAAATAATCTTATAATTGATATAAAATTTTGTTATTTATATTTCTATTTAACTGAATAATTACAAAACTGATATAATAAAATTTCATTATTATAAAAAAATCTTCAGAAAACTCTTGTGTACAAATATATACAGTTGTTCTTTTTGCATTTTTTATTAAAAAAAGATTATTATTTTATTTATAAGATAAATATAATTTATCTAACAAAATTAATTATAATAAAAAATCATATACTTTATCTAGGATTCTATTAAGAGAGTTCTTAAAGCAAGACAAGTTATTTAGTTAGTTTTATTACAATATATTATATTTGAATAGTGATAGGATATAGATATTACATAATTTGATCAATTACCAATCAAAATTAACCACATAATACAAACATATTTTTTGTTTTTTTTGTATATAAAAGCTTTATTTGCTTTAATATTATCTTATATTTGCTCTTCTTTCTAATATTACTTTCATCTTCTAAAATATCATTTGTAATATTTTTATACAACTATATTTTTTAACTTATAAAAATTAGAGATTTTATATATGTATACAAATTATATTTTTAATTCTTAAATATTTTTAATTTTAATTTTTATCTCTAATTTTAAAGTCTTTTTAAAAATCTTTATAAAACTTGAAAATAATTTCTAATCAAGTATAAAATAAAAATTAAAATAGCTTAATTTGCAAAAAAGATTCAGATTAAAAGATATAAAAACTTATCTGATTATAATTACTTAATTAAGAAGAGTAATATATAAAAATAAATACAATATATCAAGAATAAATTAATTAATAATACTATTAAATAGTATAAGTCTTGTAAAATTATTAATAATATCTGAAAATAAATAATAAAGTTTTATATAAACTCAGATATTAAATATCAAATTAAAACTTATAAATTTAATATTCTTATAATTTATAAAAGTATTATATTTTCTTATATATAATATATATTATACAAATATAAATTAAAAATATTCTTATTCTTAATATAATAATTTATATAATATATAAAAAACTCAAATTAATTATAAGATATTTGTTTAAAATATACTGAATATAATAATTTTATCTTTTTTTAAATATATTTAATAAATTTTCTAAATTATACTATAATAAACTTAAAGCAAGAACTTTTATTATATATAATATTATTAATAAATTAATTTTTTTATCTTATTTATTATTTTTTTTTAATTTTTCTTTTTTTAATTAATTAATTATTTTTATTTTTATTCTTTTTCTTTTTCTTGAATTTATTTTTTTATTTTTTAATTATTTATTTTTTTATTCTCTTATTTTTTTTAATTTTTTAACTTTTAATATTTTTTTTTCAATATAATATTTTTTTTCTTTTCTTTTTGATCTTTCTTATTTTTTTTTTGATTTTTTTCCTATCCAATTATTTTTTTTCTCTTTACTTTTTTAGAATTCTTTCTTCTTTTTAATATTTTTTTTTAATTATTTTTATTATTCATTTTTACTTTTTTCTTTTTAATTAATTAATTATTTTTATTTTCTCTTTTTTGATCTTTTTTTAATTATTATTATATTTTTTTGAGCTTGCTTATTTTTTATCTTATTTTTTTTTATTATATTTTCTTTGATCTATTATTTTTATTTCTTTTTTTTTCTTTTTTCATTTATTTTTTTAATTTTTCTCTTCACTTTTTTCAATTTTTGTTCATATTTTTTTAATTCTTTAATTTTATTTTTTTATTTTCAATTTTTTCTCTCTTTTTCTTTTTTTTCTCTTTTTCTCTTAGTATTTTTATTTTTTTCACTTTAATTTTTATTTTTAGATTTTTCTTTCTTTTATCTTTTTATTTTTCTTTTTAAATGCATATTAATTATATATTTGAACTTGATGAAAAGAAAGAAATAATAGTTAAAGTCAATTTTCAAACTAGAAAAATATTTATTATTAATATAAAGTTCAAATTCTTATTAAATTTACAAATTTTTCTTTTTTATCCAAAACTCATCATAGAGAAGATGTATATTAATTTAAAAAGATTGCAAGAGAGAAAAGTCTCATAATTGCAGAATATTTTTTAATCATTATCTTGTCATTATATTTTTTATAAGCAATTCTGTAGTAATATAGATATTCTAACATCTGAAATATGGAGAAGTTTTCAAGAAACTTTTGAAGAGTATGATTTGAAGATATATTAATCTCACAATTTAATGAAGATATTCCAATCTCAAATAGAAACAGAAGCAACTGTGAAAACTATTCAAAAGATTGAGAGATCATTATTATTATTTAGTGAATCAAGGCAATATAGAGGAGATGGCAAGATTTGATAGGAATTTAAAAGAGGCTTTGACATCTGTTCTTGAGTAAGAACATTGTTTTTATTTTTGTTTTTTTTTTAAATATTAAATATTCGAGAAAGAAAAACTCACTATATATATTAAAATCATTATAAGCATATCCTACATTTCCACCCTTTCTCAATTGTTTTTATGCATCATTGTAAATTTTTTGCTTGACATATGAAATAATTGTTGAGTAAACATTTTAATTGAAAAATAATAAAAACTATGATATCCATTGGGAGAAATAATTGTAGATTTTTTGGACGAACCAAACGGTACCAATCAAATAGTAAGATCGTGAACAAATCAGGTGTTCCGATCAAATTGACGTTTTGTGGCAAAACCAGCTAAACGCCCTATATTAATAAAATTATATTACCTAATATATGTCAACCTCTAATAGCCAGTGATTTATTGCCCTGGCTATGATTATGAACAAGCGCATAAAATCAAGCGCATAACATTAATAAAATAAACGCATAAAATTAGCGCGTAATGATAATAAACAATAAAAATCAGCGTGACAATGACGCGCTGATTTTTTGTTTATTGATGACTCACGATGACATTTATTGTTTATAAATCAAAAAATGGATTTTGTATATATAGGACAGACATTCGTATTTTTTGTGTCTCTCTAGTATCCCTAGACACGACATAAAAAAAGTTACTGTTACCTGCCTGACAGGACATTTTTTGGATTTTTTTTCGTATTTTTTTTTGCGCTTGCGCTTGCGTTTTCTCGTCGGTTTCATTTTCTTGTGCGCTTGCGTTTTTTTGTCTTTCATTTCTTGTGCCGGATTTGTTTTCGTCAACATGTGACAATAACTTTTTTTACGCCGTGGCTAGGGTACTAGTTCCCCTTTCGTTTTTGCTTTTTGTCGCTTTTTCATAGTTATAGTCTTCTTGCTTGTTATTTATGTTGGTGCGCATACCCAGTCTTCGCTGTCGACTTAAAACTTTAGCGAACTTTCTAGAGATTTGAAGCCAATAGATTTGAGCCCTTGAAATGCCCTATTTACTGGTTGTCCCT